AACGGGTATGCTTACTATTTGGCTGGCGTGCGTGCAGTGCTCAGCAAGCGCACCTGAACGGGCGCGCTGCTTACCATGTGGCTGGCGCGTTTGCAGCACTGAGCAAGCGCACTTGAAGGGGTGTGCGCAGCACTGCCGTAAGTGCGTTTTTTGAGCGGACAAGCCAGTTAGAAAGGTACTTACCGTTTCCAGTCTGCGCGCAGCACTGACTCGATATGTCGCGTTTTGCGGTCTTTTTTGAGTGGGCAAGCCAGTTTGAGCGGTATTTACGGCGAATTGGGAACGTGTCAAGCGCGGTGCAATTGCCGGCTTGATGGTTTAACAACAACAACGACAACAACAAGTCTTTGAGAAATTGGGGCGCACAGGGTATAGCAGTAGCTTCCCTGAGGTGAAGTTTGGAGCTGACCTCCTCAACCAGGCCCAGCATGCCCTGGCCTGCGCCAAGGAAGAGACTAGCGTCGGGTGCGACGACGTGCGGCCGGGCCGATGAGCTAACCCTTCCAGCCTTCCAAGAAACAAACAAGCCACAGTAGCTTTTGCTGCATGTGTTGAGACAGGCTTCGTCATGTAGGAGATGAATTTTCTCGTCCAGGCGTTACTCCAAAGATGACTGGCAATCAGTTTGACTCTGTGCCAACAGGCCGACTTGAATTCACTCAGCGGCGCCCTCCAACCCAAGAAGGGTTTCACCTTTGCGGAACGCGAGGGTTCCCGTTTATAAGGTCGTGTTCGCAACGTGTTGTTCTAGAAATCGCAACCGTTGGCAACCTCTCGCGACGTGGCCATGTGGCTGTGCCGTTGGAGAAGGGTCAGAATGTGCGATATCGATTTAGCGTGACTTGCATTTGCGCTTGAGGGTTTGCCGCTTTGAGGTGACCTGCTTGGAGCGCGTGTGCAAGGGTTTGCGCGAGTGTCATTTTTGCTGGCCCTGTCATAGAGTCGGCTTGTTTTGGTGAGCTTAAAGTTTGTCAGGCGAGACCATTCTGGAGCCACAGTCCAGTGCTCATGAACACGCGTGGCACACGTGTCAAAGGTGGATTTCGTGGCACACTTCGAGCACGGTTTGCGCCGTCGCAGGCTAGCTTTTCGTGACAGGTCTTTGCAGGTATCTTTGGGCGGTTTGAGGGGATGACCGCACAAAATCGTTGGAACTTTCGTTCTCAGGGGTGTTCTGCGAATGTTTTTAGAGGGATGTTTGCGGGGAAGTGTGTGGGGATGTCTTTCCGGACGTTTCTTGAGGACATGGTTTCTGAAAAAATATCAGGGAGATGTTGAGGGAACGTCTTTGGAGTCGACTTTGGGATGTCTTGGGCGTGTCTTAAGGATGTGAACCGTGTGTCTCTGTGGTTTGTTGGGCCGCGTCCTCGGGGTTGTCGGCGGAATGTGTTTGAGACATGTCTCTGGCGGTCTTGCGTTGGGGGCCTGATTCGTGTTTGCTTCAGGGGATTGTCTTGGGAAGTTGCGTTTGATGCGCCTCAGGTCGCGCAAAACAAGGTAAGCTTAGCAGCTTGCAAAGGCTATGGTAAGGGAACAATTGCAAGGAAAGCACAAGAATCAAGGCCGAAAGAGGAATGCCCAACCTGCGATTTTTTCGTGACACTGCGCTTGGCGACCTGGTGCCGCATTTCTTTGGTTTGTCGTCGCAGAAGATGTGTCTCACCCCAACACTCGCGAGAGAAAATACGACGGCAGCTTTTGGCAAGCAATTTGCACTCTTCATCAGGTTTCTACCAAGGTGTGGGCAGGCGTTCTTTGAGAGTTTGTAATTTGGGGGTCTGGTAGCAAAGTGAAACCAAACCTTGCGGACGGTGCTGTGATTGGAATGCATGCCCAGCTACTAGTACTCGATTTCATCTCATACCCGCCATTTTGTTTGGCTCTGCAATCCACAGTCGGATTTGGGTCGTGCCATTCAAACTCAGACCCGAGAAAACATGTTGGTTTTCTTCGGGATTCCCTTTGCGTAATACCCACAACCAGCCCCGCCCTGACGCGCCAACGGCTATCAATGGTCTGTTCAGTAACCTCCTTTCGACTATGTCGGTGGCGATTGACCTCCATTTGCATGCGTACCCTAAAACTGTAAAAATTCCAGATGAGTTTTTGTTTCCAAACAGAAGTCCCCAATTGTTCGCCTCACTTACCTCCAGGGTTCCACCTCAGGCGGTCTGCAAAGCTCCGCAACGTGCTGGCCCGCACCCAGCCCGACGAGTTGAGTGTCCCCTACGCGCTCAGTCAGCGCACGTCGGGCGCCCGTGGCACGTTTCGAGTTTGGGCGGGCGAACCCAAGGTCTGTTTCAAGGGGGATAGCTCAGTTGGTTGAACATGCCGCGCCAACCCGAAATCCCTTTTGTTTGATCGGGTTCCAACCAAACATGGCCAAAAGCGGTCGCTTTTCTAGTTGCAACTGGACTAGTACCCTTTTTCACGCAGGGGTGACATGAGCTCACTCTGACGGAGGGCCTTGAGTTGCGCGTAGACCCCATCAAAAGGAAAG